GGGCTCTCCTTCCTCCCAGGGGGCTCTCCTTCCTCTCCCAGAGGGCTCTCCTTCCTCCCAGAGGGCTCTCCTTCCTCTCCCAGGGGGCTCTCCTTCCTCCCAGGGGGCTCTCCTTCCTCTCCCAGGGGGCTCTCCTTCCTCCCAGGGGGCTCTCCTTCCTCTCCCAGGGGGCTCTCCTTCCTCCCAGGGGGCTCTCCTTCCTCTCCCAGGGGGCTCTCCTTCCTCCCAGGGGGCTCTCCTTCCTCTCCCAGGGGGCTCTCCTTCCTCCCAGGGGGCTCTCCTTCCTCTCCCAGGGGGCTCTCCTTCCTCCCAGGGGGCTCTCCTTCCTCTCCCAGGGGGCTCTCCTTCCTCCCAGGGGGCTCTCCTTCCTCTCCCAGGGGGCTCTCCTTCCTCCCAGGGGGCTCTCCTTCCTCTCCCAGGGGGCTCTCCTTCCTCCCAGGGGGCTCTCCTTCCTCCCAGGGGGCTCTCCTTCCTCTCCCAGGACAGGGCAGTGTTGCTCACTGTGCTTGCATGCCTAGAATTTGTGGGCGGGGCCGACTGAACCGTGGCAGCGCTGTGATTGGCTGCAGAGGGAGCGCACGGCCCTCGCAGTCAGCACACACCTCACTTCCCGGGCAGTGGCGTCACGTGTGCGTCACTTCAGGAATGCAGGTGGGAAAAAACCGCCACGGCCAGAAAGCAGCGGAATCTGGCAACCCCGAGCGCGGGCAACGGCAAACAAGATCCCTCGCGGGCCCCACCCAGAACCCCTCTGGCCCACAGGTCGCCCGCCCCGGCTCCATCGCGTTAACCCCACGTTGGGACTGGCCCCTTTCGCCGAAGGGCAAAGCCCCAATTCCCAGGAAAAGCAAACGCGGGGTCGGTGGAGACAAGGCGTTTCGGAGCACGCTCCGTAGCTCAATGCATGGCGCGGGAGATACGCCGGGGGGCTGGTCGCCGGCGATAGCTGGCGTAAGGAGGTGGGTATCCTGCCTGTTCATACGCAGGCGGGCGATGGGCGCGGGTGGATGCTGAGAGCAGCGCTTCCTGCCTGGCTTCCTCTCACACGTCATCCCGGGGCAGGATCACTTGCCTCACAGGCAGTCTGTAGGCGCGAGCCCCAGCGCTAAGTGCCCCGTGTAGTCAGCCTGCCTGCCCTGCTTTTCCTGGGCCGTGCCCCGTGACACCCTGGGCGCTGGCAGCCGTGGAACGCCTGTGTGGGAGGGAACAGGTGGGCCTTGCCACTGGGCCTCGCCGCTCTCTGATGCCGGTGCAGGGGTGGGGCTGCCAACTGGTCCGGAGGCGGCAGGTGAGTATCATGTTTCCTGGTGCCCAGAGCAGGTCCAAGTCCCCTCCTCCCATGCACCTCTGGATCTAGGGTGGGGCTCGGGACGGGGGGCTTGGTGTGTGGGAGGGGCTCAGATCTGGGACACAGGGCTGGGGTGTGGGCTGCAGGGTGCAGAGGAGGGTTGGGGTGTGGGAGGGGCTCAGGGCTGGGGCAGTGGGTTGGGTGCAGGCTGTAGGGTGCCGAGGAGGGTTGGGGTGTGGGAGGGGCTCAGGGCTGGGGCAAGGTGCAGAGGAGGGTGGGGTGTGGGAGGGGTTCAGGGCTGGGGCAGTGGGTTGGGTGCAGGCTGTAGGTGCAGAGGAGGGTTGGGGTGCAGGTTCTAAGGTGCAGAGGAGGGTTGGGGTGTGGGGGGGGTTCAGGGCTGGGGCAGTGGGTTGGGTGCAGGCTGTAGGTGCAGAGGAGGGTTGGGGTGCAGGTTCTAAGGTGCAGAGGAGGGTTGGGGTGTGGGGGGGGTTCAGGGCTGGGGCAGTGGGTTGGGTGCAGGCTGTAGGTGCAGAGGAGGGTTGGGGTGCAGGTTCTAAGGTGCAGAGGAGGGTTGGGGTGTGGGGGGGGTTCAGGGCTGGGGCAGTGGGTTGGGTGCAGGCTGTAGGTGCAGAGGAGGGTTGGGGTGCAGGTTCTAAGGTGCAGAGGAGGGTTGGGGTGTGGGGGGGGTTCAGGGCTGGGGCAGTGGGTTGGGTGCAGGCTGTAGGTGCAGAGGAGGGTTGGGGTGCAGGTTCTAAGGTGCAGAGGAGGGTTGGGGTGTGGGGGGGGTTCAGGGCTGGGGCAGTGGGTTGGGTGCAGGCTGTAGGTGCAGAGGAGGGTTGGGGTGCAGGTTCTAAGGTGCAGAGGAGGGTTGGGGTGTGGGGGGGGTTCAGGGCTGGGGCAGTGGGTTGGGTGCAGGCTGTAGGTGCAGAGGAGGGTTGGGGTGCAGGTTCTAAGGTGCAGAGGAGGGTTGGGGTGTGGGGGGGGTTCAGGGCTGGGGCAGTGGGTTGGGTGCAGGCTGTAGGTGCAGAGGAGGGTTGGGGTGCAGGTTCTAAGGTGCAGAGGAGGGTTGGGGTGTGGGGGGGGTTCAGGGCTGGGGCAGTGGGTTGGGTGCAGGCTGTAGGTGCAGAGGAGGGTTGGGGATGCGGGACTAAGGTGCAGAGGAGGGTTGGGGTGTGGGGGGGGTTCAGGGCTGGGGCAGTGGGTTGGGTGCAGGCTGTAGGGTGCAGAGGAGGGTTGGGGTGTGGGAGGGGCTCAGGGCTGGGGCAGAAGTTGGGATTTCAGAGGGGCGAGGTATGAGGTCTGTGGCTGAGCTGTGCTTATTTCAGGCACCTCTTGGTCAGCAGCACAGCAGGACTAAGGCAGTCTTCCTGCCTTCTCTGGTTCTGTGCAGCTCCTGAGAGCAGCTGGCACGTTCGAGCCGGCAGGTGGGGGCAGGGCACAGACCCAGCCCTCACGCTAGTGGAGCCCGGGCACCACGGGCAACTCGCCGCCTAAGAATGGGCCAATGTAGGTGACGCGGGGTAATTTGCAGTCTCCTGCTTCTCCATGGGGGTTTGGTCCTTCTCCCCAGCCTGAACCCAGGCCCCCCCACGCCCGGCTCTACTTGCACAACCAGACTAACGGCGGCGGCGTCTTACTCGCCCTTGGGCTGACGGCGTTGGTTGTCCTGCCTGGCAGAGTCCTGAGGCCCGGAGGCTCCTGGTGCCGACTGGTTCTGCGCTGGTGGAGCTCCCCTGAAAGCCCCGGGACTCTCCTGCTTTATCCTGGAGATCTGGGCCGGGATACTTATCGCTGGGACTTTCAAACGAGCTAAAGGGAATTCGGAGCCCAAATCCAGTCGAATTGAGAGTTGGGGCCTAACTCCCTTAGCGCTCGCAAGAATCCCACCCCGATAACTGCAGAATCGGAACAGCTCCCTCCACCTCAACCGGGGTAATCTCATCCCAACGGCTCCCTCCACCTCGCCCGGGGTAATCTCATCCCAACGGCTCCCCCCACCTCCCCCCGGGGGAGCCCATCCCCACGGCTTC